CTTAGCAAAAACAAGGCCAGAATTACAAGCAGATCTGCACCGTGTCCAGCCGCCAGAAGAGCAGCAGGGAACAAACAGTGACAGCTGCTGAAAAGATGGACTCATTTCTTCGCAGATAAATACAAATGAAACCCTTCGAATGGATAGTCAGGAACTCCAGCCCAGCCCCGATGGTTTGGGAAGTGAGCCCACGAAGGGCAAGATTCCTGGGCTATTATCAGCCGTCTGCTACAACCTTCGGATCAAACCCCCGGGGGTCTAGGGCAACGGGGGCAAATGAGACATGGAGCAAGGCTTAGCAAAGCTGGGCAGAGAACCCCTGGGTTCATGCTAACAGGATGAAAGATCTAGCAATGCCTATGCACAGAGGAGTCTGCCAGAAAAGATGCTCCCTTCCCCAAAGAGCTTCCAGCCCAAGCCATCATAAGCACAGGTAACTGGTATGTCTGGGAGGGACGTTCCCATCACTCGACACACAGTGCTGCACGGTGAGACAGCAGGCAGTTCGGAGGCAGGATGCCAGTGGTAGCCTGAGCAGTGGTCTGGTGGCTCCTAGAGATGCAAATTATCAGGCAACTCAGTGAGGATGTGCCCCTGCTGTCCAGGCACCAGGGGTGCGCAGGTGATCCAGGCCATCAGGTCAGCACCAGCACAGGAGAGCTGTGTTCCTGGAGGGGAAGGGCCTCATCCAGCAACACCCCAGGTAGCAGAGGAGGGAGCTGCGGAGCAGCGGGGGCTGCTGGGACACTCCACATCTTGGAAAACTATCCAGTTCAGTACCCGATTCTCAGGCTGTCATTACAGGGCTCTGCATACCCACCTAGCACGCCGGCTCAGTGTCTGTAGCCGAACGCACACTGCTCTGCGAGTGTGCAGCAGCTGCCCTCTTGTCCAGTAGCATCACATGCCTCTAGCTGGCAGCGCATACTGGCCAGAAAGGTGCTGGGTGAATGTAAACCATGACAACGATCAATACATTTTATTCGTTCGTGCCATTGTTTCTGCAGCCCCTGCAGTGCCTTTTAATTTATGGCCTTGCCTGATCTCTTTAAACTGATTCCAATACGTGGTGCCATCAGCTTTTACTGCTGTTGCTTTATCTTTGGGCCGCCCAAACCGTAAGAACCGCATGCGGAAACTGCCTGGCAGGGGATTCACTTTGTTCATTTTCCCCCTGCCAGCATAGGTGCGTCTCCCACGTCACGCGCTGCCGTGCTTTTCGCGGACTAGATTGAAATGATCTGGACAGCGAGACCTTCACCATAAGGACTGTTCTGCAGCCGGGTAAGTTTTGCTGAATGGGATTCACGCGCCAAGCCACCGCAGAAGGAAGGATGACTGAACCGGCTTTTCCAAAGAGCTCAGCCCACTCTGTGGTATTTGAACAATCTGGTTCAAAGGGTTATCAGCAGGGATCCTGTTTTTCTCTGATAAAAACTAATCCCCAATTTTCAGCTTAAAAAAGTAGCCCCAAATCCATATTTTTCCACGATTAAAATGAAACACCACTAATATATACATATACACACATCTATAAGTGGCGGCGTTTCATTTTAATCCTGGAAAAATGTGGGTTTTCGGTTACTTTTTTTAAACTGAAAATTGGGGATTTTTAATTTTTTTTTATTAAAGAAAACCTGGTTATCATCCCAGCCAAACACCTCTGGAAACCCGTATTGAGGGGCTTAAGCAGAAAGGAGGCCTTTTGGAAAAATCTGCCAGAGCTATCCATTTTTAGCACAGAGAGCCCCAATTTCTGGAGGTCTGTCGAATATGCGACTATACTGGCTTTCGGACCCAGCGGTCAGAGGAAGGCTTCAGTCCTGAAGCTCATGTAGGTCAGGAAACAGGTCAACCAAAAGCAGACCTCTGTTCCTGCACCGGTTTCCTATGGAAAAAAAATGTCATTAAACAATTCCGGACCGGCTGTATTGCCAAGTGATTAGCAGGGACAGGGATACAGACCCCTTGCTCAGATGAGGAAGTTGGGAGCCAGATGCCCCCATTCTCTGCGGTGACCTTGACCGGCACACGGGGGCTTGTACCAGCTGAGCCCAGATCTCGAATCTACGTTTTATTGGTTCCTGCCCGTACGAGGAAGATCCTGCTGGCTCTGCCTTCATGGCCAGGATTGCCAGTCTAAGATATGTGCACAGCACCTGCCAGCTCAGGACATCAGTCGTCACATCAGGCATGAGACTTGGCACAAGACGTTGACAACGATCCGGATCCCACGGAGAACAAGTATTCAATAGTGCCACTGTGTTAAAGGAGAAACCTCCCTCCCGTGTGCAGATGGTGAAAACCAGGGGAGAATGAGGAGTCTTTCAATCTAGTGCAGCGCGTGCTATCAGATCCCCTAAAAAACCTTACCAGGCACCAACTGTGCCTGGCAGCGCATGCTATCCGATCCCCTAGAAAACCTTACCGGGCACCAAGTGGTACCTCCTCCACTTGGCTGCTAACTAGCCTCACCTGGTGGCATAGTCAGAGGTACAAAGCTGTGGTATAATGCGTTATTTTAATGTTTCGCACAAGGCCTCTCAATTGACAGGGATAAACTGAGCTCCGGGTTCCTGCTCTAGCAGGTAACACGGCAAGACTGTAAACTGCAGCAACAGAGCTGGTCTTCTCCCTGTGCTCTTAACTCAAATTCACCTTTAACAGCAACTGAGTCAGCCTGAAAAATTAATTTTGCTATCAATCTCTTCTTTGGGCAGCAGGCGTTTCTGCCGATGGCTTGGGTTTGGGGAACCCAGCTATTAGTTTCTCTTACAGAGTATTTTGGGAGAGGCTGTTTGTGACCACGTTGAGCCCAATCGTGCTCGAGACTGACCCAAGCTTGCGTTTGACCCGTCTTTGGCGACAAGCAGTTTCCATTTCACAATATGCGTCCTGGTACACATTCCACAAGAGCAGATCTCTGCCCCCACAGGGAAGCCCTGCTGGATCCATGTGTCCCCCTGCACGGATCAAACTGCAGGATCAGAGCTGTAGCCTGCGCCCACAAGTACCACCAAAGCCAGATGTGCCGTACTGCAGTCATGCTTAAAGGTCCATCTGGAGCGCTGTGGTCCTGGCCTCCCAAGACAGCAACTTTTGGGCTTTTGGGACAGCCGTCAATGCTCACTGGGAAAGATGGCAGGGGAAAACCTCACTCCTTTTCCATTTAAGCCACTCGCCTCATTTCTGTTTCTTATCAGCTTGACCTCAAGAGCCGAGTGAACCAGGTGTGATGCAGTCTAAACAGGTGGAAAACAAACCAAAATGCAGCTCCACTTCCATCCTGCCCCAGTGATTTTCCTATTTAACCTCAGGCTGTCTATACATCCTCAGAAAATGCAGCAAAAGTACTTGCCTTTGGTAAGCTGGCCCCCTGTGAAGCTTTAAGCTGCCCGAATAGCAAGATGGTATCTGTTTCAATGCAGCCTTCTCTCTCCCTTACTTTGTTTTTAAAGCTTGGGAAAAAAAAAATTAATCTCACTTCTCACCCACAGGCAAATATGATGACTGTCAGGAGCAAGGGCAGGTTTTTGTTCATTATGGCCACATGGAAACAAGGGCTAATGAACATACATTCTCAGCCGTAGTGTTGCAATGAGGTTTGATTTATAGCATTAGAATAACAAGTTTTAAACCTGATACACTAGGGATTGCATGAGCTAATACAAGTCAGAAAGCACTATTCTGTCAAGCGATAATAAATTATTTTATATCAGAAATAGATAAAGAGCTGCAGAAATGCATGCTGCTGTTATTACAAGAAGTTAATGGAAGAATTTAACAAGACAAGGGTTTTAATGCTCAGATTATTGGAAGTTATACATTGAATTCAAGAACTTGTAACTCTGGACAGATCTTTCCAATTACGCATTTCAGCTGCAAATAGACTTGTAGTTCGAGCCATTCGCAAATGGTCAATTATACAGAACACTATCTGCATGCACATAAGGCATTTGAGGCGGTGCTACGGTTGGCACATACTGAGAATGTTTATATCCCAAATATGCAATGTAATTCTGCTCATGCAAGGCCTTGCAATCTTACTGAAACATTTAACTGTCATTAATATTGATCACCTGAAATTCACCACCAAGGCTGCTCTGTTTAGAGTGTAAAGCAAGAGCACGGCATTGGGAAAGCTCGAGGTACTGCCTTTAGACTGAACACAAAGGTCAGACAACTGTATAGCAACGACGCATCTCCCAAGTTACTGTATTTAAGTAGTAAAAATCCAAAGAAAATCTTGTTTGCGGATCCTACAAAATTATCTTTTGACCTTATAGCAATGCAGGTATTTTTAGTGGTTAAAACTGATAGGCTGTCCTCCACAGGTAAGGACATTTATGGTAGATTATCTAAGCCTAAATGTCTTTACAGTCTTCAGCAGCAGCTTTATCTCTTTGTCCTGCTAAAGTCTCAAATGAAAATAATTTATTCCCATATTGAGTGCTCAGCACTTTCAAGGCCTGCCCAAGGCCAGTCTACTCCCACTGAAGCATAGGTTGAAATTTATACTATAGCAGAAATGTACTTCTCAGTACTACAATACAGATTTCTTTGCACATACTTGCTGGCCTGCCACTATTCCATCTCAGAGTAGTGCTATGTCCACTTAGGTGAGAGAAATCTGACCTTTAGTTTCACCAATAGGCCTGGTCAGCATTTGATTTAGAAACCAAATACCCAGAGGCAGCTGCCAGTGACTCAATCAATGACATTCTTTCTGCCTCAATGTCTTCATAGCTATGGGTGTGCGCACCAGTCTGGATGATTTTAATGGGGGTGTGCTTTTTTTTCTGTAATGAATGGAGCACTGCCAACAATGGAGCAAGCACTCTTGTTGGAAGCTCCTAAAGGCAGCATCTTCTAGGTGAAATAACATTGATGCCCTGTCTGCTGGGGATCATTAAAGGATTAGGGTGCAGCTGAAAAAGCAAAAGTTCCTTTTCACTCTTCCTAATGCCTTGTACTTAACACTCAGACCATGGAAACAAGCATTAGCTGTAAACTGGTTTTATTGTTTATGAAAAATGGAATGTTTCATTAACAGAAACTTAAGTGGTGTTGGAACAAGAACACATTTATTACAAAAAAAAGCTGAACAAACAAATGAGTTCACATAGTATTTCAGCTACAATATGGCAGCAATTTCTTTAATTACATAAATTGACGGTGACCCTGGGTAACAGAATTCACCACTGTCGCCATCTTGCATTCAAAGAAAATTAAAATTTTCAGTAGCGGCGGGTGAAGCGTGGATCGTTGGGTCTGTTTGCTCTGTCCTGCCCTGCGAACCCTTGCATTCCACTACTCTGCATCATCTGGTTCTGGTTTCCACCCTGAATGAAGCCCCCACGCCTAGAGAACAAGGCCAAACATTCAGGAATTTTATAAGCTGAAAGTTAACGCATTGCTTTCAGTTTGCAGCATTTACCTTTTGAGTCATTTTTTTTTTATCCTTGAAATACAGTGCACCAGATAAAACCGCTGGAACATTCTTGTCTCAAGTGACATCACTAATGGTAATGAGACTAAGAGTTGGCGCTCTCCATGGCTACGCACAATTCTTTTAGCTCTTGGAACGTCCAAATGATTCAATTAAAAGAAGCGTGCACAAGTGTGGGATTTAGAAGAATAGGAAGTGACGGGCGAGAACTAAAAACCCTTGACAAAGCTTCTTACCCTGACATTCCTCCTCGATTCATCACGTGGCCTGGTCCTGACTGACCAGGCATACCTCTTTCACCACCTGGTGAAAAAGCAAGAAAAGCATTTTTAATAGGAAAATTTAACCACCCCCCTTGCTCCCAGAATTTTGCTTGCTTGCTTTGTAATGCTGTTACTGTTAAAAGCTCTGTATGAATTTTAACTACCACTAAAAGTTCAGTAGCAGCAATTCATAGGAAAAAACCACAATCACGCTGGTAAGCAGCAAGTGTACCTTGCCATCTCTCATGATCCCGTCCCATCATTCCTCCATCCACATTTCCCTGCCATGAACGATCTTGATGCCCCTCTAACTTTCGACCATGATCTCCCCAGTCACGTCCATCTCTTAAAAAAAATAAAAGAAAAGCTTCCAGGTGCGTCCCTCATCAATTTGATAGCATAGGGTGAAGTCAAATACCAGACCCCATACATAAAAGCTGATTAAAATCATGTACAAAACTACATCTCTACCTGCCCCATATTTATAAGCACCCCTCTCTCTTTGGACAAACCCTAATTAGAAACTTGCTGGACAACCAGCCCATCACAAGGAATTGGATTTTCTCAGCATGGGTCGACACAGACATGAACAGCTGATACCGCACCACAGCTCCGTTAAGCGAATAACGTCACTTCAAAGTTACAGTGGCATAAATCTGCTCACTGAAGCCTTTGAAAGGATACTTCTGGGATTCCAGCGGAGTCCCAGCCTATAATGATTCTGAGCCAATTGCTCTGAATACTGTTGTCAATCCAGACCATTATGCATGAGATAGACTCTGAAAAGAGACTGGATCACAAGGGCCTGAAGTACACCTCATATGCAGAAGAGCCAGCCCTTCCAATAGAGTGGTTGTTACCAGCAGAGCAGCTAGTTCAGCAGCTCTGTACTCACTACATTCTTGATGCACAAAGGAGCTACCTGTGTAAGTTTCTTGCCCATCCGAGGAAGAACAGCCCTTCGATGAAAACATCTGGAGAGGATTTCTATTTGTAAAACTGCACCCACTGTTGTTCTTTGGAAGTACATTTGAGGTTTCAAAGAGCATTAGCATGTTAAGTGCTGGTGAGCGATGGCCCGCATTTCCACGTACTAACCGGGACTGTGGCGGGATCCCTCTCCCTTCGCTCATTCTTCTGTCAGACCCGTAGCTGCCCCAACTGTCTCGTGCATCCCTTGAATGGCGGTCTGGTCCTCCATGCCGCTCATCTGGATAATGCTGAAAGGCAAAAAAGCATG